AAGGGGCCAGTGCTGTGGTGCAGTAGGTTAATCCTCCGCCTGTGGCGCTGGCGTCCCACATGGGTGCCAGTTGAGTCCAGGCTGCTCCTCTTCTGATCTGGCTCTCTGCTATGGCCTGGGAAAGCAGTAGAAGATGACCCAAGCACTTGGGCCCCTGCCCCTATGTGAGAGACCTGGAATAAGCTCCTGCTCCTCGCTTTGGATTGGCTCAAGCTCCAGCCGTTGGGACCATTTAGGGAGTGAACCAGCAGATGGAGGACCTTTGTCTCTCCCTCTCACTGTTTGTAACTCTGCATCTCAAATAAATAAATAAAATATTTTAAAAATAAAGATAACCACATTAGATTAGGAAAGCCCAACTGATATTTTCCTGTACCACCAATGTTCTAACCTCAAAATAAATTAACATTTATTTCATGAGGTAATTGGTAAATACATTAAATTCATAAATGAAGTTATAGCTATCAAATAAACTTTAAGGCTTATATAATTCCAGTCTTTCACTATATGGATGATGAAATTTAAATCCAGGGAGAGGAAGGAACTTGCTCAGAAGTCATCTAATTTGTTGGTGCCAGTGCCATCCATGTCTGCTCTCTTCCATGCCAGAATTCAAGCTACTAGTGAATAAATAGTTTTCAGTTATAAATTTTAGATAATTAATTCTCTGTCATTTTTATTTTTATTTTGTTAAGGAGATAAATTTGACTACATGAGAATTTATGAATTTGGCATTGAAAGCCTTAGTGAATTAGACCTTGTATAGGAGGAACTTCAGTGCTAAATGAAAACAAGCAAACTAAAAAAAAAAAAAAAAAAAGTAGATTGGGGGATTTTAGCCTAATTCCACACATTGATTTGCTAGTGCTGCCATAGCAAAATACCACAAACCAACTGGTTTAAACAAAAGTAAATTATTATCTTGGAGTTCTGAAGGTTAGAAATCCATGATCAAGGTGTCAGCATGGATCTGTACCAGGCCTCTCTTCTTGGCTTGTAGATAGCCTTCTCCTCTATTTGTTTAAACATTATCTTTCCTCTTCATGTGTCTGTGTCTAGATTTCCTCTTATATGAACGCCAGTCATTGGATTAGACACCACCCTGATGACCTCATTTTAATTTGATTACCTCTTTAGAGACCTTACCTCTATAAGAGCACATTATAAGGCACTAGTGCTGAACATGCGAATTTTGGGTAGAAAAGGGGAGTGAACACAATTCAACCCATAACAATTCATTTTCTTTTTTAGCTTCAGTTAAGATGCACTTAACTGATACAGGAGTTCCTAAAATTTGCTTCATCAGATTTCTTGAGAACGATAGACCTTCTCTTCAGGAAAAAACATGCACCAGTCTAATTTGCTATTACTCCAGAAAAAGTCTTGCCAATGTAGTGGGTACCATTTCAGTGTTTTCAATGTTTCATTTTACAGTATAACTTGAAAGATAATCATTTTACATGTGACTTTCAGAAATCTGTTGCACAAATAAGATACATGCAAATTCCTTCAAAACTAATGTGTCAAAATTGCCTGTGAAAGGGTTACTTTGTGAAATATAAGTCAGTTTCTTGTTTCTCTTAATACTGTGTCCCCGTCATCAGTTTATTTAGGATGTATTACAGGAAAGATAGCCATGTAGCCCCTTATACAGCCTATTTATTTACTCTTTAGGCATGATTATAACACATACAAACATTGCAATACCAATCATACTTTATTCTAATTAATTTTTAAAGATTCATTTATTTGAAAGTCAGAGAGAGGGAGAGACAACAGATCTTCCATCCATTGGTTCACTCTCAAGATGATGACAATGGCCAGGGCCAGGCTCAAGCTAGGAGCCAGGAGCTTCATCCTGGTCTCCAACATGGGCAGCAGGGGCCCAAACACTTGGGCCATCATCTATTGCTTTTCTCCAGGCCATTATCAGGGATCTGGGTTAGAAGTGGAGCAGCGGGGGCATGCCCTGGCACCCATATGAGATGCCAGCATTGCACACAGTGGCTTTACCCACTATACCACAACACTAGTCCTCTAATTATTTGTAACACATACCCTTTTACTGAACTATTATTTTTAAGACTATGTTGCATCAGTTTATCCATAGCATCTGTATTAGTAAAAATAATTCAGGGAATGTTCTGCTTTACAGTTCCTAGAGGTTTTCCCTTTTCTCATTTGTGACAAACAAACCAATCCAGTTATTTAGGTAATGCACAATTCTCAGGTTATTTTTGGTAGATAGTAGGATCCACAGGCAGATAGGGGTAGGTGATGATTAGTTACTCCCCTACAAGCTTGCTGCTAGGTTCCAATGCAGCCAAATTCTGGCACACAGAACATTTATTAGCAAGCAGAGACAAAACTGAAACACAGCCTGTTCTATGAGCTCCTTGAGGTTCAAGCTTCTGTTCTTTTTGGTGCTACCACAGAACCCTGTATAAAAAGATTTACCTGAAGCCAGTACAACAGCATTAGAGCTGTAGGATCCAGCTGGCCATCTGGTTAACTCATTTGACTAAGAATCCTTCAGATTAGCAGCTGAGGATTCCAAGCTAAGCCGTTGCTAAGGATAGAGTATTTGCTAGATTCTATATTCTAGTTAACACAAATATTATTAAAATGCTTCAGTTAGCCTGATATCTGGAACACCATTAATTTGACCTAGGAATATATATTGCTGATATTCATTGTGCTAATTAAAGTATTTGGTGTTGATCAGAGATAAAAGTTAATTGAAGCCCTTAAGTCTCAGGGGTGTGGCTTTTGACCCAGTACTAAGTAAACACCGTGGAGTGTTCACATTCTCAAGTAGAACCACTGACAGGCCCTTGGGTATAGACCAAAACATACATATTTGTGCCATACTCTCTAAGCTGGAATGTATTCAATTGCAGGGCCATGATACCACTTGTGTTTTTCTACTGTATTGTTTTAATATGCTCTTCTTTCTTCCAATTAAGGTACTAGTTTTTAGATGGCTTGAGTTTCATCCTCTCTCCTTTCCTCAGAGATTATTCTAACATGTGGGTGGGTAAATAGTTGTCTGATTACTTACTTTCATTCTTCTATAAAAAATGTATATATTTTAAAAGAATGTGTTCATTGAAGAAATTATGGAAAATATAGAGAAGCAAATAGAAGAAAAAAATCACCTATTATTCCACCATTCAACAAGGATCATTGTTTATTATATGTTAAAATTTAATTCCATCTATTTTTCTTTTTTTTTTTTTTAAGATTTATTCATTTATTTGAAAGGTAGAGTTAGAGATAGAGAGAGAATCTTCAATCTGCTGGTTCATTTCCCAAGTGGCCACAACAGCATGGGCTGGGCCAGGCTGAAGCCCAGAGCCAGGAGCTTCTTCCGGTCTCCTACACAGGTGCAGGGACCCAAGCACTTGGATCATCTGCTGCTGCTTTCCCAGGCATATTAGCAGGAAGCTGGATTGGAAGTAGAGCTGCCAGCATCACAGGTGGCAACTTTACCCTCTATGACACAGTGCTGTCTCCCCTCCCCCAATCTATTTTTCTATTTATTACATTAAAAAAAATCTGAGAACTTACTTTATCATCTAAGCATATGATGTAGACATTGCCTTGAATCATTAAATATTTAGGAGTGTATGGTTTTTTTTTTAAGATTTATTTATTTGTTTGAAAATTAGAGTTACAGAGAGAGGGAGAGACAAAGAGACTGAGATCTTTCATACACTGGTTCACTCCTCTAGGTAGCTGCAACAGTCAGGACTGGGCCAGTCCAAATCCAGGAACCAGGAGCTTCTTTGGGGTTTCTAACATGGATGGCAAGGGTCCAAACACTTGGACCATCTTCCACTGCTTTTCCCAGGACATTAGCACGGAGCTGGATCAGAAGTGGAGCAGCTGGGAGATGAACCAGCGCCCATGTGGGATACCAGTGGTGCTTGCAGTGGTTTTACCCACAATGCCAGACCATGGAGTGTGGTTTTTAATAACTACTTAAGATCACATCGTGGGGCCGGCGCCATGGCTCACTAGGCTAATCCTCTGCCTGTGGCACCGGCGTCCCAAATGGGCGCCGGGTTCTAGTCCCGGTTACTCCTTTTCCAGTCCAGCTCTCTGCTGTGGCCTGGGAGGACAGTGGAGGTTGGCCCAAGTGCTTGGGCCCCTGTACCCGCATGGGAGACCAGGAGGAGGCACCTGGCTCCTGGCTTCGGATTGGTGCAACACCGGCATGACGGCCATTTGGGGAGTGAACCAATGGAGGGAAGACCTTTCTCTCTGTTTCTCTCTCTCTCTCTCACTGTCTAACTCTGTCAAATAAAAAAAAAATCACATCGTGTACATAAACCACAACTTATTTAAACCATTCCCTATTGCTGGACCTTTAGAGTAGCCCTAGCTAACTATTAAAGGCACTGGATAGATTTAATCCCTTCTAGATGTGATTATTTTCTGCTTCATACACATCCATCACTGCCTCTGTCATTGGATGTTAAAATGCTAATCTTGGGGCCAGCTTGATGGCTTAGCAGGTAAAACCTCCTCCTGAGACCCCAACATCCTATATTGGTATCGGTCCATGTCCCAACTGCTCCTTTTCTGATCCAGCTCCCTGCTAGTGGCCTGGGAAATCAGCAGACGAAGTCCCAAGTACTTGAGCTCCTGGTACCCACATGGGAGGCTCAAATGGTGCTCTTGGCTCCTGGCTTCATCTTGGCCCAGCCCAGGTCAGTGTGGCCATCTTGAGAGTGAAACAGCAGATGGAAGATCTCTTTCATCTCTCCCTTTCTCTCTGTAACTCTGACTTTCAAATAAGTAAATAATACATCTTTTTTTAAAAATGCTGCTCTTTCTCTTTTGGTCAATCTTACAGTTCTTTTGTTTAGGTTTTTTAAAAGAAAATGTTTTGCTTTTCAATAATATAAGTCTTTAAGTTGATAAACTGGGTTTAAAATCTTGTTTGGGGTTGTTAGTACTCTAATATACTAGCTTATTTATTAAAATGATTTTAGGAGTATATATCCTGGGAAAATATGGACAGAGGAAAATCAGAGAAATACAAGAAAGGGAAGCTGCAGAATACATTGCCCAGGCACGACGTCAGTATCATTTTGAAAGTAACCAGAGGACTTGCAATATGACAGGTAAGGCAAAAAGAATTGTATAAAGCTGTTTGATGATTCATATTAACTTGCATGTCACCAGGACCAAAGAATGATAAATATAGCAAATATTTGCATTAACTAAAGTATATCATTTTATTATGAATTTTAAAAATCAATATAAATGTGTTCATTCATTTGCTTTTATTCATTCAGTAGATACTTGCAGAGCCCAGCACTGAAAAAGCAGGCGGTGAACAATTTAAAAAATACACATATCCTGGATCTTTAGGTTTTTTATTCTATTGAGAGGACAAGATGAGAAACAACAAATAAGTAACCTTAGGCACACTATTTACCATAGAAGAATAAAGCTGTATATGTGTGTGGGTGTGTGTGTGTGTGTGCATTCTTTAAAACAGGGTGATCAAGAGATTCAGCTGTCTTTGAGGTGACACTTGAGGAGACACTAAATGGTCCGATGGAGGGAGCCATCCAAAATGCCTGAGATATGAAAAAGCTTGGGGAAACAACAATAAGGCTGTAGAGCAAAGAGGAAGGAACAGTGGGCAGCAGTGGGAAGCAGGGCTGTGGAGGCAGACCTGATCCCTGTGGCCTGTAGATCACAGGAGCATCCTAGTCTGTTAAGTTTGCAGTTGGCAATGACAGACTGTAAGTCTGGCACAGTAATGTACACACAACCAGTGTTGATTAGTGGTTATAATTCAGTCTCCAGAGCTAGAATCCCACTGTGAGAATGCCATGACAAAGTCAGTGTGCCCGTTTGAAGAAAACCATGTGTTAGATTCTAACTGGCATCCTGAAAGAATTAGTTCTCAAGTCTATGTCAAACCTGCTTTTCTTTTTCATTCTTTGAAGCTTAATCTTTTCTTGAACATTTATTTTAAGAAAAAATAATTTGGAAAGAATTTATAAAGGTAAATTATCTTCTTCAACTTTAGAATTTTTTCTAGAATTGTAAATACTTTATAATTAGTTCACTTGCCTCAATTGTACATATGAAGAGGCTGAGATCAAAATGGGTATAGACATCCAAAATTATAGCTAGAATACGATTTTTTTTTTTTTTTGACAGGCAGAGTGGACAGTGAGAGAGAGAGACAGAGAGAAAGGTCTTCCTTTTGCCGTTGGTTCACCCTCCAGTGGCCGCCACGACCGGCGCGCTGCGGCCGGCACACCGCGCTGATCCGATGGCAGGAGCCAGGTACTTATCCTGGTCTCCCATGGGGTGCAGGGCCCAAGTACTTGGGCCATCCTCCACTGCACTCCCTGGCCACAGCAGAGAGCTGGCCTGGAAGAGGGGCACCGGGACAGAACCGGCGCCCCGACCGGGACTAGAACCCGGTGTGCTGGCGCCGCAAGGCGGAGGATTAGCCTAGTGAGCCGCGGCGCCGACCTAGAATACGATTTTAATATTTGAAATAATAATGCCTAGAAAAATACCTTCATTCTATAAAGCAAAGGATCATCATAAAGATAGTATATAGTGACAACTATGATGTGATACGGTGAGTAAAAGCACAGGTTCTCACCTGAAGCAGGTCTGTTTCAAATCTCAGCTTGCCTTGTGATATCAATGTGTCTTTGGGCTAGTCTAAATCTCTACTGTCTCCTCTATAAAATGAGCATCATGAAACCCACTTCAGAAATGTCCTATGGTGAAGTAATGCACAGAAAGTGCTTGACACATAATAAATTAATAAATGATAACTTTTTAAAAATTATATAATTCCTTAAATTAACATTAAGCATTCAACATAGTGATATAGCCAAAGGCAATTTAATGAATTTTAGAGAATATGGAATGGTCCATTTCAGATTATTACTGAGATTTTCAGAAAATGGTAACTCTTGTGATTTCAGCTTGACATGGATCCTTGTGTTAGTTTGGGTTCTCCAGGATGCAGATGCTAAGGTGGGATTACGTGTGGGAGAGATTTCTTGAGGGAAATGCCTGTGAAGAGGAAAATGGAGGGAGCAGGAATAGGCAAGGAAAGCCTTTAGACCACTTACAGGTCTGACAATTCTTTAAAGAAGGAAAGAGAGAAGATTAGGTAAGAAGAACCTCAGACTACAGCACAACGAAGCATTTGCAAGCCAGACTTCTCTGGTAGAGGAGTCCAGTGAAAATGGGCAACTTTAGTGTCCCTACTTGAGCACTGTCCTTGCTTGGAGCAGTGCAAAAATAGTAATGGATCCAGAGAAATGGTTGTCAGTTAACAGTGCTTCTCCTAGCAAGAGGTATGGGTGGTACATTTCTATAACCTTTATAACCCTCAGATTAGCAAATAACAGGCTGTAGGAAATTAAAAATAAAAATGTGGTGATCACAAGACAAAAATATAGGTTTACTGAAAAACTTCCAAACCTCTGTCTGATATACACTGATAATAGGGTTACAAATAATAGGATTATAGTTCTGTCCTTTTGGCTAAGATATAATGAGTAGACAAGAAAGATTTAGTACTTACAAGTAAATGTAACTATTTTTCTTACCAAAGAAGTTGGACCCAACTTGAAAGATAGCTTCTAATGGAATACTTCTTTGCTTTGCTGTTTAGCTTTGTCTTTGTGACATTACGTAAGATTTTGAATGGATGATTGTCAGGTTTACACATGACATTATGCTTGGATGAATAAGTGACACCACAAATAAAGTTTCATGATAAAAAATAGTCTGATTTATTTAGGTGCTATACTGGGAAAAATGAATTGTTCTGCCTTAAGAGCTGATTGTATAGATACAGAATTATCTAAGTTTGCTTGGAAGCAGGATGTTTGAGTAAGGATTGGGTAGTGTAGTTGAGTTTTAAGTTTGTTATGAGCAGACAGTGTGGTGTGACTTCTAGAAATACTAATTTATTCTTAGACTAATAAGATCTGGGATTCAGCTCAGAGTCGCAGCATACTCTGCCTTTCAATAGTCAGAATACAGGGTCATTTCTGCCTTTCATATATAAAGAATATGCTTACAATATAGAGTGTATCCCAAGAAACCAAATAAGGACAATAAAAGCAAGAGCCAACACTTACAGAATATTTCCATGAGCAAAGAAACACCGTTCTGATTGTTTTCTATGTCTCAATTAGTTCTTGCAACAATCCTTTAAGGTAGATCCTGTGCTATCTTCAATTCACAGACCAAGCAACTGAGACATAAGGAGGTTAAGTAACTTGCTCAAGGGCATACAGATTTGAGTTTAAAAGACAGTCTTGTGCCGGCATACCGGGTTCTAGTCCCGGTCGGGGCGCTGGATTCTGTCCCGGTTGCCCCTCTTCCAGGCCAGCTCTCTGCTGTGGCCAGGGAGTGCAGTGGAGGATGGCCCAAGTGCTTGGGCCCTGCACCCCATGGGAGACCAGGATAAGTACCTGGCTCCTGCCAAGGATCAGCGCGGTGCGCCGGCCACAGTGTGCTGGCCGCGGTGGCCATTGGAGGGTGAACCAATGGCAAAGGAAGACCTTTCTCTCTGTCTCTCTCTCTCACTGTCCACTCTGCCTGTCAAAAAATTAAAAAAAAAAAAAAGACAGTCTTGTGATTTGTGTTTGGACTGAGAATGTCGGAGATCAGATAGCGATAGGATGATGTGAATGCTGTTTTGAACTAGATACAGAAACATTTGGTAATGTTAATACAGTTGGCTAGAAAATGATAGTCTCTTATCTTTCAGAAGAATTATTAATGAGACATCTCACAAATTGTTTCATTATACCACAGAATCTGTAAATTAGTTTCCCATTAACTCCATTTTCTGAAGATAGGACTCTAGTATTGCTCTTTTCTTTGTAAAATTAACACTGTTTGGACTAAATACTACATACTATAATGCAATTGATATATATAGTAGTACATCAAGAGACAAGCTTACCTTGGTTTTACACTGCTACTATAGATAACAATCTGAAAACTTAGGTGATTTAAATATACAGCCTGAGGAAATATGTTAAATCTACAAAATACAGCACTGAAATACATGTCAAGTAGATTAAAACCTGAATTTTATGTAGAAAAAATAATATGGATTTCTAAAATTAATATATCATGTCTAGTCAAGAAGTAAAAATGATACACTAAAGTTTTCCCCTTCAGAATGTGGTGTTTGTTAGTTTTCATTACTCATTTAGTGTTAAAAATTCATTTTAAACTTACATATGGGTATTTCTCCAAAATTTTTATACCATAAAATAACTCCTATAAATCACATAAAACATTTTATCTTCACATTGTTTCTAGGAGTAAGAAACAAGCAACAGCCATTGTCATAACCAAAACTAATACTCAGAAGCTTTCAGTTCCTAGCCTTATGCACTTTTGTCTAGGTTATAGTAAGTGCTTTTGCTTTGTAGTATTTAATAAACTTTTTCTAGAAATAGAAATAAATAAATTACTAAATATTAAAATGGTTTTGATCATTCTCATTATATCAAAAATAAACATTTATTGTAAATTTAAAAGCAAAAAAAAGAAAAAACAGAAATACTGATAATTCATATCCCAAAGATCACCATTAATAACATGCAGGAGTAATTCTTTCCATACTTTCTTCTGTGTGGCTTGTTCACCTTGCTGTGAGCATAGCATATGTGCAGTTTTGTTCAGTGAATGTAAGCAAGTAATGATTTACTAATAACTAGTTTTATATTATTATTAATAATTTGAATCTCCCTGACCTTCCCCAACCCTTGCTCTCACTAGTCTCTTTATACAGTCTAAAACAATGTGCATTTCTCCGTATGGGTGGGCATATCACTTGTGAGCTACTGTATTGTCTGTTTGTATCACAGTGCTGTCCATGCTTCCTACACTGAGAGAGGCTTTGATGCAGCAACTCAATTCTGAGAGCCTTACAGCTCTGCTCAAAAACAGGTAAATACAAGTTACAGCAGTTTTGTTTTTGTACTATTCTCAACATTTACAGAACAAACAAATATTTTGCAAAAATCTTTGTTATTTTTCTTTCTAATTAAAGCTTATAACAATAGATTCAGTTAGAAAAAATAACTGAATCATCGAATCCACTTTTTATGCTCTCCTTTGTTACACGAAGCATTTAGGATAGCAATATTTGTATGTATTATTTTTCATAAATGCATTTTACATCATTTTGACATTATTCAGGAATTTAATTATTGAGTACCTATGAAATGCATTACTAAACCAGATACTAACAAGAGTTAGGTTAAATATTATACTCCTCAATGAGTTTACAGTGTAATAGTTAACCATGTGAACATCTGTTTTTTAAAATGTATATTTTTATTTTCATTTCATTTGAAAGATAGAGACACACAGAGAAAGATACATGCATTGGTTCACTCCACAAATGTCTTTAACTGCCAGGAAAGGGCAGACCAAGCCAGGAATCCAGAATTCAGTTTGGGTGTCCCATGTGGGTGGCAGGACCCAAGTACTTGAGCCATCATGAGCTGCCTCCAGGGGTAGACATTAGCAGGAAGCATGAATTGGAAATGTAGCTAAGTCTCTAACCTAAGCACTCCAACTTGGGATGGAAGTCCCAAGTAGCATCTTTTTTTATTTATTTATTTATTTTTTTGACAGGCAGAGTTAGACAGTGAGAGAGAGAGAGAGAGAGAAAGGTCTTCCTTCCATTTGTTCACCCCCTAAATGGCCGCTATAGCCGGTGCACTGTGATGATCCGAAACCAGGAGCCAGGTGCTTCCTCCTGGTCTCCCGTGCGGGTGCAGGGCTGAAATACTTGGGCCATCCTCCACTGCCCTCCCGGGCTACAGCAGAGAGCTGGACTGAAGAGGAGCAACCGGGACAGAATCCGGCGCCCCAACCGGGACTAGAACCTGGTGTGCCGGCGCCACAAGGCGGAGGATTAGCCTAGTGAGCCACAGTACCAGCCCCCAAGTAGCATCTTAACTGCTGTACTAAATGCCTCTTCCATAAAGTTACATTTTAAATAAGTAGAGCAAATGAGTTTATATTTTAAATTACTAACAAAATGAAATACAAATCTAACATGAAGTACAAATCTAACACTAATAATTTATATTATCATAACAGTTTACAAAGTGTTTTCACATATATTACCTCACATGTGGCATGCAGTATGTACAGGAGTACCATAAATTGGTGTGATGCTGTGTTAGTTTGAAAAGACTTTCAGGGCTGGCGCCGTGGCTCACTAGGCTAATCCTCCACCTTGCAGCGCTGGCACACCGGGTTCTAGTCCCGGTCGTGGTGCTGGATTCTGTCCCAGTTGCCCCTCTTCCAGGCCAGCTCTCTGCTGTGGCCAGGGAGTGCAGTGGAGGATGGCCCAAGTACTTGGGCCCTGCACCCCATGGGAGACCAGGATAAGTATCTGGCTCCTGCCATTGGATCAGCAAGGTGCGCTGGCCTCGGCGGCCATTGGAGGGTGAACCAACAGCAAAGGAAGACCTTTCTCTCTGTCTCTCTCTCTCTCACTGTCCACTCTGCCTGTCAAAAAAAAAAAAAAGACTTTCAGAAGAAAATGGCTTCTTTTAATGAACATGATAAGAAGCAATATGGTTTCCCTAAATAGAGTTTAATCATTGTGAGCCCCTGAATTATTTACTTGCCCTTCTAAGAAGGGAGAAAAGGAAGTGCTATTCCCAGAGTGTTTCTCTCTGCCAGGTCTGTTGCTAGGTACTTTTCATACAGATATGCTCCCATTTCCAAATATCCTTGTGGGTCAGTTATATATGTTTTGTAGATATGCATTTAGCACTCATACAAACTAAATAGCAAGCTAGAAAATTTCTTTCAAACATTTTCTACACCCAGAGACTAAAATCCACTCAACGTGGATTAAAGATCTAAATCTATGACCCGACACCATCAAATTATTAGAGAATATCAGAGAAACCCTGCAAGATAATAGGCACAGGCAAAGACTTCTTGGAAAAGACCCCAGAGGCACAGGCAGTCAAAGCCAAAATTAACAATTGGGATTACATCAAATTGTGAAGTTTCTGTACTGCAAAAGAAACAGTCAGGAAAGTGAAGAGGCAACCAACAGAATGGGAAAAAATCTTTGCAAACTATGCAACCAATAAAGGATTAATAACCAGAATCTACAAACAGATCAAGAAACTCCACAACAACAAAACAACCCACTTAAGAGATGGGCCAAGGACCTCAATAGACATTTTTCAGAAGAGGAAATCCAAACGGCCAAAATAACAATGGTTTTGTGTACTTGGAGTTTTTCTTATTTGATTTAAATATGATACTAGTGATGAAGGATTTCCCCCTGTAAATTCCCTCATTCTTAGAAGTAGGTAGGGCTTGATTTATAGATAGTTCATATAATTATGTAAAGAAGAAACATATAAAGGAGTTAAAGGAGTTGCTCTTCACCAGGAGAAAGCACCTGGCTCCTGACTTCGGATTGGCGGAACGTGCCGGCCGTAGCGGCCATTTTGGGGGTGAACGAATGGAAAGGAAGACCTTTCTCTCTCTCTCTCTCTCTCTCTCTCTCTCTAACTCTGCCTGTCAAAAAAAAAAAAAAAAAAAAAGGAATTGCTCTTCATCAAACTAATACTTAATTACCACCTATCTGTACATAAATAGGAGATAGAAAAGACACAGATGTTAATTGCCTTAAGTTTTATTGTTATTGAAGAGAAAAGGCAAAGGAAGTAAGTGAATAAGCAACATAATAAATATGGTATCATTCTTCATTCTTGGTGAAGCTGTGTTTTCTGGAAGGCCCTATGTTCCATATGTTTTGGAGATTCAAGATAATTAAGAAAGGTTCCTTTCCCTTTAAGACATTGTGATCCATAGAAGGAAATAAACTAAGCAATTTTTTTATAATTCAAGACCTATTATATTAATGCTATGGTAAAAAGAATAAAATTTGGGAAGAAAATGTGGGAATATAGAGACAAAAAGGATTAATTTTAATTAATAATTCTGGACAATTTTAAAGAAAAGCTATCATTCCCTTATTCAAAATGTGAAGAGAATTTCTTAAATTCTAAAGAGTCTGAGATGGTTCACAGTTCTCCTTACTCACTGTTTCCTCTTTAAATATATTAATGTTATTTTCTCTTGCATTTCTTTGATTTGAAGTTATTTGCAATTTGGGGGGAACATATCCATTTGAAGAGGGTCTGGGCCATTGTAAAGTGTAGTTAAATAAGGTCTCCAGTCTCATGACTTTAGTCAGTGCTGGGCTCATATAAGCCTATTAAGCCAGTTAATTTTCTCTTTAAACTAATTTCATATAACTAATTGAAATAAATGTTTTGATAGCCTTCTTTGTTGATTTCCTAATAGCAAGTAAAAAAATCTCACTGGTTGCAATGCTTAGCATTCTTATTGGAGCCTGGTAAGGCTTCAAAGGCAGTCTTAAACGCATTCTATTACAAGAGAGAGAACATTATCAAAGATTTAAAGTCATTAATCTTCAATTCTTAAACACAGAATTAAGATAAACTCATATAATATTTAATCATATTTCAGTGACATTAAAGAGTCTAGGGGCAGGCATTTGACCTGTTAAGATGCCAGTTAGGATGCTCATGTCCCATATTGGAGTGCCTGAGTTTGAGTGCTTCCTGCTTCCAGCATCCTGCTAATACACTCTCTGGGAGGCAGCACATGATGGCTCAAGTATCTGTGTTCCTGCCACCGACATCGAAGACCCAGACTGAGTTCCACTTTCTCAGTTTCAGCCTAGACCAGTCCCAGAACCAATGGGTAGAAGAATCAATTCTTTTTTTTTTTTAACTTTTATTTAATGAATATAGATTTCCAAAGTACAGCTTATGGACTACATTGGCTTCCCCCTCCCCCCGATGACTTCCCTCCCACCTGCAACCCTCCCCTTTCCCGCTCTCTCTCCCCTTCCGTTCATATCAAGATTCATTTTCAATTTTCTATATATACAGAAGATCAGTTTAGTATACATTAAGTAAAGATTTCAACAGTTTGCACCCACATAGAAACACAAAGTGAAAAATATTGTTTGAGTACTTGTTATAGCATTGAATCTCAATGTACAGCACATTAAGGACAGAGATCCTACATGAGGAGTAAGTGCACAGTGACTCCTGTTGTTGACTTTACAAATTGACACTCCTGTTTATGGCATCAGTAATCTCCCTATGCTCCGGTCATGAGTTTCCAAGGCTATGGAAGCCTTTTGAGTTCTCCGACTCTTATCTAGAAGAATCAATTCTGTCTCTTCTCTCTTTTCTCTTCTCTCTCCAATCTCCCCCAAACTTACCCTCCCTCCTCCCTTATCTCTTCTCTCTGTCTTCCTTTCAAATAAAAACTTAGACAAAATGTTAAACTTTTTTTTTTTAAGATTTGTTTTATTTATTTGAAAGAGTTAGAGAGAGAGGTCGAGACAGAGACAGAGGTCTTCCATCCGCTGGTTCACTCCCTAGATGGCCACAATGGCCGGAGCTGTGCTGATCCAAAGCCAGGAGCCAGGAGCTTCTTCTGGGTTTCCCATGTGGGTGCAGGGACCCAAAAACTTGGGCCATCTTCTACTGTTATCCCAGGCCATAGCAGAGAGCTGAATCGGAAGAGGAGAAGCAAGGACTAGAACTGGCACCCATATGTGATGCAGACGCTTCAGGCCAGGGCTTTAACCCGCTGCACCGCAGCACTGGCCCAAAAACGTTGAACTTTTTAATACTGATACTGTTGTTTTGAGACTATTGTACATAGAATGAGGAATGAAGCAAATTAGTAATTATGTTTCACTGATTGCAGTGTGGGCAAAATGAAGTACAGATGTAAAATCGACAAGATTAAGTTAAAAACTATGTGATCCAGCCAGTGCTGCAGCTCACTAGGCTAAACCTCCACCTGTGGCGCCGGCACCCCGGGTTCTAGTCCCGGTTGGGGTACTGGATTCTGTCCCGGTTGCTCCTTTTCTGGTCCAGCTCTCTGCTGTGGCCTGGGAAGGCAGTGGAGGATGGCCCAAGTGCTTGGGCCCTGCACCCGCATGGGAGACCAGGAGGAAGCACCTGGCTCCTGGCTTCAGATTGGCATGGCACGCCGGCCATGGCAACCATTTGGGGGGTGAACGAATGAAAGACCTTTCTTTCTCTCTGTCTCTCTCTCTCACTGTCTGACTCTGCCTGTCATTAAAAAAAAAAAAAAAAAAAAAAAAAAAAAACTCTGTGATACAGGGCCAGTGCCGTGGCGCAGTAGGTTAAGCCTACACCTGCTGTGCCAGCATGCCATATGGGCACCGGTTCTAGTCCCTGTTGCTCCTTTTCCAATCCAGCTCTCTGCTGTGGTCTGGGAAAGCAGTTGAACATGGGCCAAATGCTTGCACTCCTACCCCTGCATAGGATACTAGAAAGAAACTCCTGGCTCCTGGCTTCAGATCGGTGCAGCTCCGGCCTTTGCGGCCATTTGGGGAGTGAACCAATGGAAGGAAGACCTTTCTCTCTGTCTCTTCCTCTCACTGTATAACTCTACCTCTCAAATAAATAAATAAATAAAATCTTTAAAAAAAAAAAAAACTCTGTGATCCAAATTTTTAACTGCAAGTATCAGTAATAATTTAATATTTTTAAATACATAGGAGTATAAATAATACAGATACACATATTTACTGGCTTAATCCACTAAAAAGGATTAGAAATAATGACCTATCCAGTAGCAGGGAACATACTTAACTACTGTTTCACACCAGAATTCTTGGAGAAAGAGGTAATTTCAGATCTGTAGTAAGAATTGAAAAGGATGAACCCGGAACAGATTTGGTGTCAGAAATTGAGGAAGCCACCAAAAACTAATGGTTAATGTCAGAAGGGTTCAAGAGCCAACCTAAGTAGCCTTCCAGTCATCAAAGTTGTGCAGTTTGAACATGACTAAGGATAACTGTGGGGCATTGGGACACATCAAGTATTTTAAATTCATGTGTTTATAACGACACTTTTAACAAGAAAAAAACACCTCATTTACTTTTGAAGGATTACAAAGCCCACTTCATTATTTGTAAAATGGTAAATAAAGGAAAGAAATAAACATTTTTCATGCTTTGCCTATATGAATTTCTAAAACATGTATGCAAGCACTCAGAAAGAGGGAAGAGACTGGTAGAATATACACCAGTGAAAATGGTTATCATTGGTTAGTGGAATTATATTTGTTTTTATTGTATGTTATGGTCATTGCTTTCTACAGTTATCCTATATTGTTTTTAATTTAAGAAAGTAAATATAGATCAAGTTTTCTATTATACTAAATTATTATTTTCTGATCTCTTTAGGCCTTCAAACAAGGTAGAAATATGGGAGGACTTGAAGATAATAAGTAAGAACATATTCTGTGTGACGGAATCCCTTAAGATAATTATAAACAGAAATTTTTGTACTGTAATATACTTCCTCATAGTGGTGTTATCAGAATTAAATAAAATAATACTTATAATGCAAGTAGATTGATGCCTGGCCATAGAAAATACTTGGTAAATAGTTATGGTGGTGATTTTACTATTGTCATAATGATAGGTAAAATGTCCTGGACTACACATGCCAATGTTTTCACTGATTTCTCTAATGTAATACTTTAAAAGAAGTTTTTACTACAAGACAAATAGTAACTTTGCTTTGATATTATATGTAAACTTTTGTTAGTGATAAAAATTTGAAACAGAGCTTTCTGGGGGTTGTGTATCTGCCTGTGTCTCAAAACTTCATATCATCAACTATTCCTAGTTTCCTATACATTCAACTAGTCCTATCAACTGAATGATGCATATGCCTTACCTACCTGAAAACAAGTTAAACTTCTAGTACCCTGTGTTTCCTTTCAGCTATTGTACTTTCTCACACTCCTACAACCAAAGATTTCTACATTCCCTTACTTCTTCACTCCTACTCTCTCTTTGACACACTACAGCTTGGCATCCACTCCTTTATCCTCACCCACACAGATCTCACTGGGATTAGTAGTAATTCTTTGTTCCTAAATCCATTACACATTTTCCTCCTGCTAGATCCCTAGACAGCAGCCAATACCTTTTCTCTCTCCCTGTCTTGAACATTCTGTTCTGTACTGCTGGGAAATCTATCCATGGATTTTCTCCTGTCTTCCTATACTTTTTTTCCTCCAGTCCTGTGAATTCATCCTTTTTTGCCTGCCATTGAATGCTGGAGTTCTATATTCAGCCTCCTCCTCTTACTCTAACCTGGCTATCAAAACCGCTCAGAGTTCTGAGGCTACAACCAAAGCTTCTGTGCTTTCCATTCCTTCCTTGTTTTCTTTTCTAAGCCAATAACATTGAACTCTCTTACCCAATATATTATATATTTTTTGACAGGCAGAGTTAGACAGTGAGAGAGAGAGACAGAGAGAAAGAAAGGTCTTCCTTCCGTTTGTTCACCCCCTAAATGGCCACTACAGCTGGCACACTGTGCTGATCTGAAGCCAGGAGCCAGGTGCTTCCTCCTGGTCTCCCATGCAGGTGCAGGGCCCAAGCACTTGGGCCATCCTCCACTGCCTTCCCAGGCCGCAGCAGAGAGCTGGACCGGAAAAGGAGCAACTGGGACAGAATCCGGCGCCCCAACCGGGACTAGAACCCGGGGTGCCAGCGCCACAGGCGGAGGATTAGCCTAGTGAGCTGCGGCGTCGGCCCAATATATTATTTTTTTCAATTAGAAGATACCTAATCTACTTCAAACAAGTTGTAAGGAGATAGATTATGAAATGTTTTCTTTTTTATTTTTTAAACTTTTATTTAATAAATATAAATTTTGAAAGTACAACTTTTGGATTATAGTGGTTCCCCTCAATAACCACCCTCCCACCCAGAAACCATCCCATCTCCTACTCCCTCTCTCATCCCATTCTTCATTAAGATTCATTTTTAATTATCTTTATATACAGAAGTTCAACTTAGTATATACTAAGTAAAGATTTCAACAGTTTGCACCCACACAGACACACAAAGTATAAAAAATACTGTTTGAATACTAGTTTTACCATTAATTTGCATAGTACAACACATTAAGGACAGAGATCCTACATGGGGAGTAAGTGCACAGTGACTCCTGTTGTTGATTTAACAATTGACACTCTCATTTATGATGTCAGTAATTACCCAAGGCTCTTGACATGAACTGCCAAGGCTGTGGAAGCCTCTTGAGTTCACAAACTCCAACCTTATTTAGACAAGGCCATATTCAAAGTGGAAGTTCCCTCCACCCTTCACAGAAAAGTACCTCCTTCTTTGATGGCCAGTTCTTTCCGCTGGGATCTTACTCACAGAGATCATGAAATGTTTTCAATTGGTATATTTTTGTACTTGAAACAGTTACAAATATATTTTTAAAAGTCATCATATAGGGCAGGCATTTGGAAAAGTTGTTAGGATAAAAAAGACAAAAGCTGCTTGGGATAACCACATCCTGTATCAGAGTGCTTGGGTTCAAATCCTGAATGCCCTTTCCATTCTAGCTTCCTTCTAATGCACACACTGAGAGGCAGCAGATGATAACTCAAGTACTTGGGTCCTTGCTACCCACATGGAAGACCTAGATTAGGTTCCCAGCTCCTGGCTTCAACCTGGCCCAATCCTGACTGTTATGGGCATTTAGAACTGAATCAGTGGATTAGAGATCTCTTTCTGTCCGTTTGTCTACCTCTTTTTTCCTCTGTTTCTCTGCCTTTCAAATAAACCAAAATTAATGAATTAATTTTAAGAGTAATCTTATAAAAAATCACCATAAGGATGCTTTATGATTTTTCCACAGTTATTGGTGTTTTAATAACAGTACCAAATCCAAATGGTTTTCTTTTTTCTATGAAGGTTTCACAAGAAGTATCGTGGCTGTGTACAGTACTTGTATGCTGGTTGTTCTTTTGCGAGTCCAGTTAAATATAATTGGTGGATATATTTACCTGGATAATGCAGCAGTTGGCAAAAATGGCACTGTAAGTTTAATAGATTTAAAGCAGATATTGCCCTTCCTTTCAAGAGGTTCAAAGTTTATTATTTATTTGGATAATAATTTCTATGAAAGAAATATATTTATATTTCCTGTGATTGTAAACTTTTAGCATTAATACTTTTCATCTTTTGATACCAGACTCCCTGATATATCAAAGAATACTTTTTTGTCCTATCATTCTAGACATTGAAAACCTCAGGTCATATTATGGTTAAAATGTTACTTCTTTCCTAACAAAACCATTGATAATTTAACCTTATTTCTGTTTTATACAGACTGTTCTTGCTCCTCCAGATGTCCAACAACAATATTTATCAAGTATTCAACACCTTCTTGGAGATGGTAAGATTCTTATTTGTGACCTGTGTATTTATTTTAATTCATTTATTTGTGTGATTGAGGAGTTTTTTATGTGGGCATAGCTTTTCAATGCGTTTTTCCTTTATTAGGCCTGACAGAATTGATCACTGTTATTAAACAAGCTGTGCAGAAGATTTTAGGAAGGTGAGACGTTTTCTGACTTCTTGATTATGGTGAATATAAGATAAGTTCGAATTGTTCAAGTGAAGCTAAGATTTCACAAACAGTAGCTTATGAAATTCTCTCTGTAGTCTAATACAGATAGCACCTTGGGGTATTGCATTGTAAAACCCATTTCTTCATCAGAATCAACCTTTTGATACTACGGGGAAAGTTTTAATATTTCCCTGCTTACTTATTGATTTCCAAACATTAGAAGTATTTGGATCATGAGATAGAAGTCCTCCTTTAAAATCTTTGGAGGCTTTTTCCTTCCACTTATACTAGTAATATATACAATTTCAATAGAAATTTTCTTATGAAATCTTCAGCAAGCTTTTTCTTGGCTCTGTAATAATGACCCTTAACTGATCACTGATTTCTTAATTCATTCTAGTCCGGTCAGCATTTTCAGGTTTGACTGGATAAAAAAAGATTTCAGATAGTAGCCTATTAAGAAGAGTGTCTATAGGATGTGTTGTACAGTTTCAATTTATCCTGATTCCCTTTTCTCCATTTCTAGTGTTTCTCTTAAACAATCTTTATCTCTTTTGGACTTGGAGCAAAAACTAGAAGAAATCAGAAATCTTGTTGAGCAGCATAAGTCTTCTTCTTGGATTAATAAAGATGAATCCAAATCTTTATTATGCCATTATATGATGCCAGATGAAGAAACTCCATTAGCAGTTCAGGTGCTTAATTCATACCCTTTTAACCAAACCAATTATTCTATATTTTTGAAATTTGTTACTATCTCTTTAAATTTAAATTTCTGACTCTCTTGAAAGGTGATAGAAAGATTTATGTTGTAATAACTGAAATTAAACTCCATTAATTTAGAAAACAAACTGCAGTGGTTGCTAATTTCTAGTTAGAATCACTGATAATTTTATATGCTTTTTGAGTAGTTATAATATGTGCCAAGGGATATAAAATGAATATACGTTAGGACTCAAGAGACAAAGTGAATACTGCTTATTTGTATAAGAGAAGTATAGAGAGCACAGAGCAAGAGCCAGTTTTGCAAGATTATCAAGAGCTATATATGCCAAGATAAGAAATGTGAATTTAACTCTGTAGACAAAGAAAGATAAATTTAACCTGACTAGTCACAATCACATTTGGTTTTTAAAATAAATAGTTGTAGTATGATAATGGACTGAGGACATTTTAGTCATCTAGTTGAGAAACAAAGAAGGCCTGTCTAATAATTATCAACTGTGGTATTGCAACACAGTGGTGTGTGTCCTAAGCAGTTATTACATATGTTATCATTTAAAAACAGTAAAAATGCCACAGATTGCAGGTTATAGAACTCATTTTTTAAAATTAATCACTTTTCGTTTGTAAACTGGATTAAACCCATTCTTTGTAATTGGGAGAAGCCTCAGAACATAGAGGTCCCTATGCCATGCCTCAGTATGGCAGCCCTGTAGTACATTTAAGGGGTCCCTGTGATTGAAGGGTAGAGTCTAAACTACTAAACAAGGACAACATGTAAGACAGAATTAATGGGAAAAAATTATAGGAGAAAACTTACGAAACAGAATCACAAAGAGCTGTAGTAAGAAAAACATTTAAAAAATGCTTTCTGGGGCTATAAAATAATTTTAAATTATCCAAATTTTAAATTTCTTTTTTTTAAAGATTTATTTATTTATTTGAAAGTCAGCATTACACAGAGAGAGGAGAGGCAGAGAGAGAAACAGGTCTTCCATCCACTGGTTCACTCCCCAGATGGCCGCAACGGCCAGAACTGCACTGATCTGAAGCCAGGGACCAGTAGCTTCTTCCTGGTCTCCCATGTGGGTGCAGGGGCCCAAGGACTTGGGCCATCTTCTACTGCTTTCCCAGGCCATAGCAGAGAGCTGGATTGGAAGTGGAGCATCCGGGACTAGAACTGGCGCCCATGTGGGATGCCGGTGCTTCAGGCCAGGGTGTTAACCCACTGCGCCACAGCGCCAGCTCCCCAAATTTTAAATTTCAATAGTGAAACTAAAAACAAAAATGACTCAAAGGAACAGGTGAAGCGAGGAATGAACAACTGTGTCTTACTGAACGGAATTAAAACCTGAAATAGATTGAAAGAACACACAGAGCCTCTGATAGACTGATGACAAAATGCATAGCCTCATAAAATTTCTTAGTCGTAAAACAACAAAAACTAATCCCAAACCTTTGCAATCTCAAAGCCCATATTTTTTGCTGTTGTTCTTGGTTTGTTTTTTTTTTTTGTTTTTTTGTTTTTGCTTTTGTCTATATATGCTGGAACTCAATCCAAGAAAGGCCAGATAAACAAAGATCTTGAAAAGCATGATTTCACTTTGATTCATATTTTAAATACTATTCACCGGTGCCTATGTACATAAACCTTTTGAGTTTCACATTTTTTGATTTTTGAAAGAGTTTTAGATTTCCTGAACTCTTGAGTCTATAAGATTATCATATCCCTATTCTGATAGTTGAAATGCTGAAGGATGGCATTTTAATTTTACAGGCCTGTGGACTTTCTCCTAGAGATGTGACCACTATTAAACTTCTCAATGAAACTAGAGACATGTTAGAAAGGTATGTGTACTGCATGTAACATGCAAAATATGTTTATGTTTCTAATGAACTTAACATTGTTTTGTAGTTTTTCTAAAACATACTCAATATGATATCATGTAATAGAGTTTCCTGCCTAAACTGGAAGGAAGCAGGGATTTTTTTCATTATACCCATGATTTGCCCATCTACTTCCCAAACCTACAGATTCTGGTATTGTGGTTGAGGAACCAGAAGGTAGTTAGCATGTCTATTTTGAAAAAAAGCTTTCAGAGGTAATTCTGATGTACCCTGTATATACTGGTAAATGTGTAACAGCCGACTCTTCAAGGAAAAAAAAAATTAAATTGCCATAGCAGATCTCAGGCTACCAGTTTGAAGTCCTTGAATCCCAAATTGGGGAATTGGGAAGAGTTATCTTTGCAAGCCAGCACTAGCCAGCTTCAGCTAACTTTCAGTTACACACGCATGCCTACAAGTGCTCAACTGTATACATATACATGCAAACCCAGGCACAGACCCAAACATGTACACTGCATCGTAAGAACTGTTTGCCCTTTTAGGAAAGACTATAATGTTCCTAAAAACTTCGAGTAGTAAAACTTTCACATCTTCCCTAAATTGAATATTATTACTTTTTAAAGTCATCTAAAAGAGAGCCAGGTTGTTTAAAATGGAAGAAAAACCAGATTATTCATTAAAGTCCCTTTTAAATTGATGATACTATATACACTTGTGGGATAATTTAAGCCTATTTTCTGTATTACTATTTTCTGAGGAAATGATATCCTCTTCCAATAATTTTTTGTGATCATCAAGGAAATCTGCAATTTTTCCTTCCTTCTTTCCATTTTTATTTTTTTTATTTGAAAGGCAGACACATAAAGAGAGTCAGACACATCTCTTATCTGCTAGCTCATTTCCCAGATGCTGAAGAGCCAGAAACTCAGGCAGGTTTTCCACATGGGTGACAAGGACCCAACTACTTGAGCCATCAGCTGTTGCCTCCCAGGGTGTGCATTAGCAGAATGGAATCAAGACTCAAACCCAGGCACACCAGTATGGGGTGCATGTGTCCCCAAGCATCATCATAGCCACTGTGCCAAATTCCTATCCCTGCCTTTCCTTTAACCATTAGTGTTTCCTGAGTGTTTGTTATTATTTCATCTTCAGCTACCCCAGACAGTTAGATCTACTCTGCTTTTACTATTATGTGTATGCTAAAGATTCCCAAACTTTTTTTTTTTTTTGACAGGCAGAGTGGACAGTGAGAGAGACAGACAGAGAGAAAGGTCTTCCTTTGCCGTTGGTTCACCCTCCAATGGCCGCCGCGGCCGGCGCGCTGCGGCCGGCGCACCGCACTGATCCGATGGCAGGAGCCAGGAGCCAGGTGCTTTTCCTGGTCTCCCATGGGGTGCAGGGCCCAAGCACCTGGGCCATCCTCCACTGCACTCCCTGGCCACAGCAGAGGGCTGGCCTGGAAGAAGGGCAACCGGGACAGAATCCGGCGCCCCGACCGGGACTAGAACCCGGTGTGCCGGCGCCGCTAGGCGGAGGATTAGCCTAGTGAGCCGCGGCGCCAGCCGAAGATTCCCAAACTTTACAACCTCAGTCCTGTACTCAGAAAGTGGTGTGGATTGAGGATTCTGTATGTTCTGTATGTCAGCAATAAAACTAATTTGTTCATATAATTATTCATTTATCTCATGGAATAATTTAGTCATCAACTATATATTGGCCATCTATTGCGTATTAGGACTTGTGGTAGATATTAGCTCCTCAGCCTTCCTGGAACTTATATTTTAATGGCAGAGAATAACTGCATTGATGAAACACAGAGAGTGAGAAAATGACCACTGGTGCTGTTTTTCAGGTTAATCAGAAAAGTCCTCTCTGAGGAGATATCATTTGACATTTGAAAGTTGAACTAACAGTATTTGTGGAATTATTTGATGTGAGTTGTGAAAGAGGAGGCAGAGATGATTCTTAGGTATTGAAGCTGAGCATTTGAGGAAGTAAGAATTGCCATTTATATTTCGGCCTTGTTGAGTTTGAGAAGATATAAAGATATAAATTTGGATATAATCAACTGGTATATGGTATTCAGAGTTACAGAGATGGAAAGAAATAGAAGCTTTAAACAAGACTGAATCATAGACCATATCACAATTAAGAGTTTAGGAAAGGAAGAAAGAACCAGCAAAATAAGCTGACAGGAGCTGCCAGTGAAATAGAACACCAGAAGAGTGAGGTGTCCTAGGAGACAACTGAAAAAAATATTTCAAGGAGCAAACTGATTAATTGAGTCAAATGTTTCTGAAAGGTCAGATAAGGACAGAGAAATGACATAAGATGGGTCAAGATGGTGATCTTGCTCAGAAGTTTCAGAGGAGTAATGGAGATAACCTGATTCGAAAGAATTAGAGTTGAAGTAGAGACAATGAGGATAGGAAACTATTTTTTTGCTTTGAGAGATAGCAACAAATTGGATAGTATTTGAAGGGGAATATGGGATCCAGAAGATTTTGGCTTTTTTTTTTTTTTTAAGATTTCCTTTATTTATTTGAGAGGTAGAGTTACAGACAGTGAGATGGAGAGGCAGAGAAAAAGGTCTTCCTTCCTTTGGTTCACTCCCCAAATGGCCACAACAGCTGGAGTTACACTGATCCGAAGCCAGGAGTCAGGTGCTTCTTCCTGGTCTCCCAATCTGGTGCAGGGGCCCAAGCACTTGGGCCATCTTCTACTGCTTTCCCAGGCCACAGCAGAGAGCTGGATTGGAAGAGGAGCATCTAGGACTAGAACCTGCGCCCATATGGGATGTCAGCGCCGCAGGGGGAGGATTAACCCACTATGCCACGGCACCAGCCTCGAGATTTTGGTTTTGGTTTTTAAGCATTTTAAAACACACCTTTCAGTAGACTAAACTCCATGAGATTAATAATTTTTCACTTTTGAGTTCATCTATGTATCCTTTGCTCTTAGAATAGTGTCTTGCATGAAGTAAACATTCAGTAGGTGTTTAGTGAGTTAACTGAAATTGACAGAAGAGGGAGAAATTGATGTAGAAAAGCAGGATAATTTTAGCAAAGAGTCTTGAATCCAGAAAGGAATGAGATTCAATATACAGTAAGAAGGATTGGTTTTAGGAGTCAGGGAGCATTGGCTAATGATAGGTACAGATGTAAGGCAATAAATACAGTGGGGACAAGTAAGTTTATGGGAATTCTCATTGCTTTTATTTTATATGTATATGAAATAGGAAGCCAGGTGACTTATTTCAAAAAGCTACCCTCATTTCTTTCATTGGCCTAAAAATGAATTTACTTTAATGAGAATAGAAATTAAAATTTTTGAGCATTTGGGCTTCAAACATTGTTCTCTACTGCATTATATTTTTACTGATTAGATGGGTACTATAATGACGTTTTTTCTTCAGTTTATATTTCCTCAGTTTCCATCCCCTTAATCATTTTGTTTTTCCTTGAACTTTTATCATATCCCTTTAAAAGAGAATGAAATTGCTATAAACTAGCAATTCCACTCCTAGGTATCTACCAAGAGAAATGAAAATACATGTCACAAAAATAAGAGATTTCATAATAGTATTATTCATACTAGCCAAAAAGGAAATAACCCAGGTGTCCGTCATCCTCAATGAATAATAAATTGTAATATATTCATAAAATGGGATAACAGTTAGCAATAAAAAGGAACAAACCTTTGATACATGCTACAGCATTGATAAACCTTAAAAGTCTTATACTAAGCAAAAAAAGTCAGGCGTCAAAGACCACATGTTGTTTGATTCTTTCTATGAAATGTCCAGAAAACTATAGCAACAGAAAATAGAATAGTGGTTATGTAGGATTATGAATGGGATTGGGATTGGCTACCACTGGGCATGAAAGGTAATGAAAATTCCTGCTGGTGCTGTGGCATAGCGGGTAAAGCTGCCGCCTGCAGTGCCGGCATCCCATTTGGGCACCGGTTTGAGTCCCTGCTGCTCCACTTCCTATCCAGCTCTCTGTTATGGCCTGCGAAAGCAGTAGAAGATGACCAAGTCCTTGGGCCCCTGCACCCACATGGGAGACCAGGAAGAAGCTACTGGTCTCTGGCTTCAGATCAGTGCAGTTCTGGCCATTGCGGCCATCTGGGGAGTGAACCAGCGGATGGAAGACCTCTCTCTCTCTGCCTCTCCTTCTCTCTCTGTGTAACTCTTTCAAGTAAAATAAAAAAAAAATTTTTTTAGATTTATTTATTTATTTATTTGAACGTCGGAGTTACACAGAGAGGAGAGGCAGAGAGAGAGAGGTCTTCCATCCACTGGTTCACTCCCCAGCTGAGTTGGACCTCGCTGCTTCCAGTCTGCTTCCTGGCTCACCATGGGATCCTTCCCTTGCATGCATGTGGGTGCAGGGGCCCAAGGACTTGGGCCATCTGCTACTGCTTTCCCAAGCCATGGCAGAGAGCTGGATCGGAAGGTAAAATAAAATAATATTTTAAAAAGAAAATTCATAAAATTAGATTTTAGTGATAATTGTACAACTACATAAATTTACTAAAAGCTATTAGCATACATTTTAAAGGTGTGAATTTTGTAGCATCTAAGCTTCTGAAGGGAGAGAAAATGGCAGAAAAGGTAGATATGTGCACATTGTGATTTCAAAAGCTGAACATAAATAGACATTTTCCAACTTTCATAGTACTTTTATAATTATTTTTGTAAGAGTTTTTACGAAGTACTAACAGTATAAGGAAAGGAGCTTGAACTTTAAGATCAAAGAGGTCTAGGATCATATTTGAGCCCATTTACTAGTTACATGGGCAAGCTTCTTCATCCCTCAAGTAACTAGTTTCTCATCTATACTGATAGTAATAATTTCTATCTCACTGGGTGTCCTGATAGAGTATGTAAAACCAATAATCTGTGACTATGAAGGGTTTCAAGAGTTTCCTCAAGAGAACTAATACCAGTGCTGATATTTAAAAAAAATACACCGTTAAAGCCCTAATATTAAAATCTAGTGACGTAAGTGAATATTCTCATTATGTTGTGCTAAATAATAAACTCATTCTTATGCTTAATTTTTTTAAAAATTTATTTATTTATTGGAGAGTTAGTTACAGACAGAGAGAGGGAAGGACAAAGAGATCTTCCATCTGCTGGTTCACTTCCCAAATGGCTGCAACGGCTGGAGCTGAGCCACTCCAAAGCCAGGAGCCAGGGGCTTCTTCCAGGTCTCCCAAGTGGGTAACAGAAGCCCAAGCACTTGGGCCATTTTCCACTGCTTTCCCAGGCCATCAGCAGAGAGCTGGATTGGAAGAGGAGCAGCTGGGACACAAACCAGCATCCATATGGGATGCCAGTGCTGCAGGCAGAAGCTTAACCTACTACGCCATAGTGCTGGCCCCTATGCTTAATTTTAAACTGCATCTCTTTGATATTTTTGTACTGTTTTAAGCTATAAAAAATAGATTTTGAATAGTCAAAATGTTGATGACTCTGAAAGGAAAACATAATTGCTGAAGTTGTTTCCTTTTCCATTGGGAATCTGAAAAGTAACTTCTTATTTTTTTTATAGTCCTGATTTTAGTACAGTTTTGAATACCTGTTTAAATCGAGGTTTTAGTAGACTTCTAGACAATATGGCTGAATTCTTTCGACCTACTGAACAGGATCTGCAACACGATAACTCCATGAATAGGTAAGATGACATCTAAAAATGTTATATTCATGAATGCTCTTAAAATATTGCTTCAGATATGTTTATTTTTGTTCTAGTTTTTTAAAAATCTTAGAGAATAAATGTGCTTCGCTTTCAACAAATTAAACTCTGTTAAACCAGTAACTTCTTCATTAGCATACACTCCTTCCAAATTCAATATTAAAACTTGCATTCTTCCCAAAAGCTTTGCCACTAATTACGTATTGAAATATTTAAATTGGGAAGCTACCTTTCTATAAACCTGATTCCAATTGTTTTTTTTTAACTCTTTAGAATACAAAGCTTACAATGTACTTACATTTTATTCTGTTGTGTAATGTACTGCAAACTATTATTGGCCTATATCATTCAGTACTTTGATCATTATAATAACCAGGCATTCATGTTGTAGACTCCCATTTGGTTAATTATCTCTTTATAGTTCTAAATATAAGTGTAACCCTTTTCAGTCCTTAGTATAAGACTTGGGAATTTTTAGTTAGGACAGTTGAAATTAATTTTAAACTAATTATTACTAAGTCATGGTTTCATGATGACAGAAGATGCCTAAGAGTTTAATATATCTTTATCCCCTCAACCTGGGCACCTTTGGTCTTATATTAGAATTTATATACTTTAAGGTTGTCTGTTTTGCATGTTTTTATATTATACTCAGTAAATAATGCATTCTAAGTCAATGTTGACTGACTATAAAATCATCCCTTAAAGTTTAGGAAAATAGCATGCAATACGATATGCATTGTGTCTTCAGAAAGTTCATGGAAAATGCATATTATGAAAAAACTGAATAAAATATGAAAATTTTGCACCAAAATAAAACTTACCTTTTTAAAATATATATTTACTTATTTGAAAGGGTTAGAGAGAGAGAGATTGATTTTCCATCCACTGGTTAACTCCCCAAATGGCCGCAACAGCCAGGTTCTCCCACAAGGATGGCAGGATCTAAACCTCGGGCCATCTTCTGCTGCCTTCCCAGATGCATTAGCAGAGAACTGGATCAGAAGTGGAGCAGCTGGGATGTGAACCGGCACCCATATGGAGTGCCTGCATCACACAAGCAACTTAACTCTGCACCACAGGCTGATCCCTAAACTTACCTTTTAATTCTGTTTTTCATGAATTTTTTGAAATTTCCTCATATTTTTAGTATCTGATTTAAGGCTTAAAAAGTATCCACTGCACACCAGGTCCTTTGCTAAGTGCTGAGATAGTTAAATGAGTAAGATGATTATGATACCTAATTTCATTGACTGTTTAATAACAGAAAATAAGTACAAAATCAGGGAAAATTTTGAAACAAGCCACCAAGATACAATGAAAAAGAATAATTCCTGATATCCTCAGGAATACAAAAATCTCCCCACTTCCTATTTTCAAGGATTTCTTCAAATCTCAACATAGCCTCAGCATTTTCATAATACTTAAAAAGAAATTTCTAGTGTACTCCCAGGTTGAATTGAATGAAGTGAGATATTTAATGTAAAAATACTAAGTCTATACAAATGTTTACTGAGCACTGACAAGTTAGAAAGTCATTGCTGTAGTTCAAGCAATAGAAAATGCTTAGCTTAGACTAGACTTGGCAATGGGGAGAGGTAGACACTTTTTTAAACAAATATGTAGAATTTTGGAGGGTATAAGCAGCAGAAGAAAATGCCAAGGTAAATGCCAGGATTCTTGCTTATACCACCAGATGGATAATGCTGTACCAGAGTATAAGGGAAAACATTCAACATTGATAGTAATTAAGAGAACTGCATACAACATGCCGTTTTCATGTTTCAGACATACAAAGATTAAAGAAAAAGATAATGCTCAATAAAGAAGTCCTCATGAAGCAGGAGTTCTCACACACTGCTAGGGAAGCAGAGGATTTTTGACATGTATTATAAACTTTAAAAAATTCATACTCCCTGAACCAGCTGTGTTTGTATCATGCAGAGATTCATTGTCACAGCTACAGGATAGATTACTATATAATCATTAAGAAACAATCAGATAAAAACATTAGAAGAACTTTTTTAAAAACAGAAGAATGCTTATAATAATAAAAATGCAAAATGGTATGCTTGTGTGGTTAGAGTTTTGTGCCAAAAGAAAAACGCAATAAAGCATAGTCATGTATAAAAATTACTGAAAGAAATTATCCATGAGGTCATTTACAGTCTTATATCTAGGTGATAAAATTATGTTTTTTTTTCTTTTTGATACATTTCTGTATATATTCTTCAGTCACTTTGCATTGATTTTATAATTAAAATGTTATATCTTTTGAAGTAATTTCATAAAGTAATTATTGCTGTAATTATTTGCCAGTCTTTCCAGTGTCAGCCTGCCTTTAGCTAAGATAATCCCAATAATAAACGGACAAATCCATTCAGTTTGCAGTGAAACGCGTAGTCATTTTGTTCAGGTAAGAACAAAAGTGGGGAGAGGGAATTATTAGAAACAAATTGTGTTCTGGGTGTAGTCATGTTTCTCTAATGTAAAATTATATTCCCTGCAGTGATACTTGTTTGAAAAAAAAAAAACAAAAACAAATTTAGAACTTGTAGAATGCCCACGAGAGAAACAATGTATCATAGCAAATTTATAAGGTTGGGAATATCTTTCCACATACTATAGTCCAGCACCTGTTGGACTCCATTTTAGGCTGGATGTATTTTAGTGATTAGTTGAACTTATCTAGCCTTAATCTTTTGCATTAAACTGCACTAGTACGTACATCCATCTTCTTTCTTAGATTTGTCTTGTGTAAAACTATTATGAAAAAGGATAGCTTTAACCCTATGTAGTCTTTTTTTTCTGAGCCATTTACAAACTTGGAAACTCTGAGTCAAAAAATTACTTGCAATATGCTTCAGTTGCAGACTGCTGCAGTCATGTACAGTGAGAAGAGACGCTGAGACCTTTGTGTAAAATTGCATCTTCTTAGTGTCTTTTGTCTCAGACAGCTGAGTATATCTTCTCTATAGACACTGTACTTATGGGAATGTGAAGAGTGCTGAGACTGAGGGCTGTATTTCTTCCTTTTGCTTTAATGGCAATAGCCTGTCCTTCACACGTGTATTTTCCCTCACTGTTCTCTTCAGCCTGTCATCATTCTCTCCTCTAACTGATAGGCATTGACATTGCAGAAGAAATAGTAATGCTGATACTATTTCACTGAATTTTAAGCTTCACATATGTACCTGTGTGAGAAAAAAAAAGATTGTAACTTCCAGCCTTCGTTTTATATATAACTGCACTTCTGTAGATGTCTCTGACTGTTCCTTTTGACAGATAAGTGGGAAATACAACCAAGTGTGAAACAACATCAGCCTTAATGATTATGTAATTTTACATATAACATTGTAGTTAAAATCTATATAATTGACAATGAAGTTTCAATCTAGTAAAAACATCATTGGTATTAATATTCAGTAAAATTTTTTAGTGTGACTGTAGATTAAATTTATATGCTAGACCATTAATTGATAAGGCTTCCCTCCATTTTTTAAACTATAATTTATATGAATTAAAATATCAAGTTGTCTTCTTAATAAACTACCATATGCTCCATTACTTCCATTAATCTGTGATACTTTTGCCTTGATTAGAATACTTTAATTAACTTAAATTTAATCCTTTATATAACTGCTGCTACTTCAACCTCTAAGGTATATAGGAGATCCTGTCGTGGAAATGCTTTCAAACATGAGTTGGCAAATTCTGTAAAGGTCCAGATGGTAAATATTTCAGGACTTGTACACTATGCATTTTTGTGTGAAAATAATTCAACTATGCCCTGCAGCATGAAAGCTATCATAGACAATATATAAACAAATGAGTGTGGCTGTTTCAATCAACAGAAACAGGCAGTGGAGGAATTGGCTGGCAGGCCGTAATTTGTTCACCCCTGTGGTATCAAATACTAGCATGATGGTATAGCTTGGAAAAGTAGATGGCAGAATCAGAAAACAACTGAGAAAGCAGAAATATTTTTTAAATATTTTATTTATTTATTTGAGAAGTAGAGTTATAGACAATGAGAGGAACAGACAGAGAGAAAAGTCTTCCCTGCACTGGTTCACTCCCCAAATGGCCACAATAGCCAGAGCTGTGCCAATCCAAAGTCAGGAGCCAGGAGCCTCTTCTGAGTCTCCCACATGGGTGCAGGGGTCCAAGCACTTGGTCCATCTTCCACTGCTTTCCCAGGCCCTAGCAGACAGCTGAATTGGAGAAGGAGCAGCCAGGACTAGAACTGGCGCCCATATGGGATGCTGGCGCTGCAGGTGAGGATTAACCTACTGTAGCACAATGCCTGCCTAGAGGAAGCAATTTTTTAATATTCTTTTTAAGTTGTTTCCAGATAACATAAGGAAAAAATTTTTGTAGTCTGAACAAACCCTGTGATACATAATTTTTCTTCATCTACTGACAACATCCTTTAAATTTCATCAGTAAACAGTAATTGAATAGATTTAAATTCCTTATTTTAAAGCTGGGATTGGCAAACTGTGGACTATGAGCCAAATTGGGCCAGCTATCTGTCTGAGTGAATTTTATTGTATGACATCTATGCAGTTGGTTTATGAATTGTCTATGTTTGCTTTTGTACTGTGGTAGTGTATCTCAAACTTATCCATACACCTCTACTATGGGGAAAAAATATCATCGTCTGCTGGTGTTTATATTAATGCATAAATTAAAAAACTATAAACTCATTGAGATTACAACTTTTTCTTAACTCAAAAACCAGAAATATTTATCATTAAATATAATATAAACTAAAAAATAATTCTTTACTGCAGTATGGCTAATGGCTATGAATTCATTGTTCCAAAGTGAATGTAGACCTGTCTACTACTGCTCACATTGTTGGGTATTCAACCTGCTTCAATACCAGACTTGCTGGGTACTTCAATCTAGTATAATTCTGAATTTACATAGTTTGGCCTTCATATGAAAGATTTTTCTACCTCTGTTCTTGTCTTGTTAGCATAATACACAGTTGAAGTTATGCCACTAAGAGCCATCAAGAACAGAAACATAAATACAAATGTCCTAAAATAAGGGACATTATTAGGTACTGTGTTTATCTTCAAAATTACACAGAATGTGTTTGAGTTTTCTTTCAGATTTTCAGAGAAATCAAAATGCAAAATATACCCTCAAATTTTTGGGCCCCTACAAGCGTATCTGTAAGCGTTGGCTTGAGAAATATTGACCCAGACTGAATACTTCAAACTGAATATACCAGATTCCCTAATGAGAGAATTAACAATGAGATAAGATCAGGACATGCCAAAGGCTCACTTGGGTTTTCCAATAACAGAGGACTCACAGGCCCATGCTTCTGACACTCAAAGGCTCTAACCTTTTCTGTCATGGACCCCTTCACAATCAAATGAAGCATGTGTAACCCTTTTAAGAATAATGTCTGTAAGTGCAGATAGTAAAACTCATAAGATTTTTAAGGCCTTCATCTATAGACAGTTTTCAAAATACCTTTTAAAGTTAAATTGGTGATGCAGCAATATTGCTTCTTTAGTCAAGCATTAAATAATATGCAATGATAATTCTAATAACTTCTACAACTGGAAATGTCTGTAATTTCTACTGAAGACAAGTCACACATCCTGCTAGTAGTATCAGTTTGTTTCTACATTCATACTTGAAGAAAATGCTCAATTTTAGAGGCTAATGAAAATAAAGGATAATAATTCCTTTTCCTTATCTTAGCATTTACAAATCCCTTGGTGGTCACAAACTATTTCTGTGAAGTATTTATGTTTATTTGTGATTTGTTGTGTGTGTGTGTGTGTGTGTATAATATGTACATAGTACATATACACATCATATGTGATATGTAGATCTAAGAAATATTATGCCTCAACCATGTTAGATCAACTTCCAGCAATAGTACCCTCAATCCTACACCTTTAAAGTGGTAAGTATTTATTCAGTAGACCTTGACTAGTACTTCTCATAAACAAAAACTATTTGAAGACTGAGGTTTTTTTTCTAAAAGTTACATTTGAATACTAGTAATACCATAACCCTACATAAAAGAACCTAAATAATAAGTATCCCCTATAGTTTACTACAAGAAACAGTATTTCGTAAATGATTTTCTCTTGGGTTTTGTCTACTACAAAACCTAAATCCAAATTCATTACTTGATTGCAGAATTGAATTCAAGTTATCTATGCCTCTTACAAGCTGTAATGTTATATGGTTACCTTTACTAGGATCTGTTGATGATGGAGCAAGTGAAAGATTTTGCTGCTAATGTGTACGAAGCCTTTAGTACCCCTCAACAACTGGAGAAATGATTTTTCCTTCAAGAAAAACTATGATGGGATTCATTTAAGTATACACTGAATAAATCAACTATACTGAGAATGACAGTTTGTTACCAAAATAACTAATAAAAGTATATTATTAATCAAAGACTTCATTTCATAAGAAAATACATTCATTTGGCATCTTAATATATTTTTTTAAATTCATCAACAAACCAGTTTTTGTGTGCATATGTGAGTGCACACAGAGTACAAATATGAAAATTGTTAATAGTTTGTTACACTGTGGGTATTCTAAACTGACTATAATCTGATGTAGATACTTTTATATATATATATATATATATACGTACAGATATAGATATACTTGCACACACACATAATACAAAATGCAGTGTGCTTTGACATTACTACTGAAGAAAAAAATCTGTTTGAGAAATAGGTCTTGGATGTGTGAAGCTTCAGAAATGTGCTACTTAACTAATCAAACGGTTCCCTGGACTGCAGTAACCTGGAGTAAATCAGACTTTTATCTAGTTACCCTTCAAAGAAATAAATTATTTGTCTCAATTATACCTTAGTGAAAGACTTTTCTTATGGAAATCAGTGAATTTTAACCATTATTATTGGGTATTTTTTTCTTTTGCTATATTTTCCTTGCTATTTCTTTGCTGTTTTCTAAGGCATTGTTCAAAAGCCTTTGAAAGTTACATTTTGATTTAGAAGCTAAAATTGTGTTGGTGCTGTTTCTTCACAGCTCTTAATTACTTATTCATTTTTATGTAAATAATCTTAATAACTTACTTTGTATTGATTTCGAGTACAGTGGATATCTTATGGCAATAAACTATTTTAATAAAATACGATTCGTTGAGTTTATACTTTCCAGCCATTAGTGTATTTGTTCATAACATTTTTGCTGGTATTGTAGAAGAAAGAATGCTAGTTTTTAGGTTTCATTTTAACTGGTAATATATTTACTGATGCTTTCTTTTCCTTTTTTTTTTTTGAAAAATTAAGTTTTTTTCAAAGATTTTTTTATTTTTATTTGAAAGGCAGAGGTACACAGAGAGAGAAGGAGAGGCAGAGAAAGAGAGAGAGAGAGGAGAGGTCCTCCATCCGCTGGTTCACTCCCCAGTTGGCCACAACAGCCGGAGCCCTGCCAATCCGAAGCCAGGAGCCAGGAGCTTCTTCCAGGTCTCCAACGTGGGTGCAGGGGCCCAAGGACACAAGCCATCTTTACGGCTTTTCCAGGCCATAACAGAGAGCAGGATGGGAAGTGGAGCAGCCGGGACTCGAACTAGCACCGATATGGTATGCCAGCACTGCAGGCAGCAGCTTTACCCATTACGCCACAATGCCAGCCCCACAAATTAAGCTTTGAAAAAGCTTAATTCATTGTCTATTAAATCTGTAGTTCTACATTTAGAAAGGTAATTAGGGCAAAATAAATAATTATATATCATATTAGATATATTTTCAGTTATACCAATATTTTCAGTAACATCATTCGATGTTCCTCCAGCATAACCTACAGATAATAGTAGAAAATAGAAAATGAATCATTAAGTCTCTTCTAAGTCCTGGCTATGCCTGGAGCTACCTGGTAGGGAGTCTATGTGCAGAATGTTTAGAAGAAGAAAAAACAAGTGCATAGGGGCAGGCGTGAGACCTATACATTAACATACTGACACACTGAGTGCCCACATCCCACATAGGAGTAGCAAGGTTCAATTCCTGGTATCTCCAATGCCCAGTTACTCCTTCCTGCTAATGCAGAACCTCAAAGTCAAAGGTGATGTCACTGAGTTCCTGTCACTCACAGGGAAGAATGTGAAACCTGGATTGCCCAGCTCCTGCCTTCAGTGTCCCACTACCATTGCGGACATTTGAGGAGTGAACCATTAAGTGAGAGCCTGCTCTCACTCTTTCCCCCTCCCCCTCTCCCTCTTCTCCCTCTGAAGGGAAGGGAGGGAAAGGAGGGAAAGAAATTTTTACATATGTATTGGAATGGGGAGCAAATGCTTCATTTCAAAATTTGGTAGAATATAATTATATTATCACTTCTAATAGATGAATGGAAACTTGCATTTTGGAAATTAGGGAGTGTGGGTGTATTAGGGCATGCATCTCTTCCAGGAGAGTTAATCCAGGATTTCATCCAAGGAAAATTTGAGAATGAACAAATATGGTCTTATAAGGATACAAGTTTGATTGGATGAAAAGTATCACCTGGAATCTTCTGCATCTGTGGAGTTGTGGCACTTGGAGAGATGGCAAGTTAAAAACACATCTATTTGAAGTTAATTGGTCTTAGGCATTACCTTGCATTCTAATGGTACAGGAAGAGCCCTCTTATCTGGGACTCTTAGTTGTTCAGTTAATCCAAAAAGTCATTTAAAGCAGGATATCATATATATATATATGTATACACACACACACACACACACACATATATATACATATGTATGTATGTATATATATTCTTAGATATTTTAATGCAAAAATATTCTTTGTCAATTTTTCTGCAATAAAAGCCCTGGCCTTTTCTCATTTTTCAACTTAGGTCCTCCTAGCCAGGGCGGTGGTCCCTACTGACTTTGAGTCTGGCCTAGAGGATTGGCAGGGGGCAGGGTGCCCACTTGGGCCCATGAATTGCTCCCCTTCCCTCACTCTATCACAGCACCTGGACTCAATCTGCCAAGACGGAGCACTGACCAACCCCTATCAGATAGGCAGCTGACTTTGGGAACCACATGACTATCACCTCACCTGCATGGGTGAGGTGCCTGGACACTATGGGCTCACCCAGTGCGGTTGGTTCTCCTTGGTAAAGAGGGGCTGAGGCTCTGATCACTCCAGCCAACACTATCATACTCTGCCCCCTGCTGATGATAGAGATCTACTACGCCCAGCTTGGGTATCAGCCTGGACTCTTGTCCCAACCTTGAGCACTAGCCAGAGCTCCCTGGCCCCACCCAACATACACCCCTGGTTATCCACTGAAGGAGCAGATACTCCACTAAGCCACAGGGGCATAGTTCAAAGATAAAATCTGACAGAGAAGAAAGCCAACAGGTGTTTCCACAAGTGCATAAAAATAAATGTAAAAAATACATGAACAAGGAAGACAATACAACTCCCCAAAAGGAACACAATAACACTTTAATATTAGAATGTGAGGATGAACAGTTTGATGAACTGCCTGATAAGGAATTCAAAAGGATGATCATAAGATTACTCAAAAACACAGAGAAGCAAATACATAAGTTAAAGAAATCCATACACAGCATGGATGAAAAATTCTTCCAGGAGACAGATACTGAAAAAAAAACCTGAAATATTAGAAATGAAGACTTCAGCCGGCACTGCGGCTCACTAGACTAATCCTCTGCCTGCGGCACTGGCACCCCAGGTTCTAGTCCCTGTTGGGGTGCCAGATTCTGTCCTGGTTGTTCCTCTTCCAGTCCAGCTTTCTGCTGTGGCCCGGAAAGGCAGTGGAGGATGGCCCAAGTGCTTGGGCCCTGCACCCGCATGGGAGACCAGGAAGAAGCACCTGGCTCCTTGCTTCAGATCGGTGCAGTGCCATTTGGGGGGTGAACCATTGGAAGGAAGACCTTTCTTTCTGTCTCTCTCACTGTCTATAACTCTCTCTGTCTCTCTCTCTCACTGTCTAACTCTGCCTGGCAAAAAAAAAAAAAAAAAAAGTAAAAAGTACAATGGAAAGGCTTAGCAACAGCCTTTATAAAGCAGAAGAAAGAAATTCTTAGAAATAGACAAAAAATTATTCAAGATTTATGGTATACTATCAAGTGACAAACATATGTGTCTTAGGAGTTCCTGAAGGTGTGGAGAGAGAGAATGGATTAGAAGGATTATACAGTGAAATAATAGAAAAATTACGTAATTTGAAGAAAGAGAGGGCTGTCCAAGTACAGGAAGCATGTAGAATTCCTAAAAGACATGATCAGAAAAAATCTTCACCACAACACATTTCAACAGTAAAACATAAAGAAAAGATTCTAAAATGTGCACAAGAGAAATGCCAGATTTCCTTCAAAGGATCTCCAGTTAGACTCATGGCTGATTTCTCATCAGAAACCCTACAGGATGGGAGAGAATGGAAAGATATAGTCCAAGTCTTAAAAGAAAAAAGCTACCAACCCAGAATACTGTACCCAGCAAAGCTCTCATTAATAACTGAAGGTGAAATAAAGACCTTCCAAAACAAACAAGTTGAATGTCACCACTTATACAGCTTTACAAATGGTGCTTAAGGATGTGTAACACAGAAAAACAGAAAAAGATAGTCATCATCATGGAAGAATGTTGAAGGCAGAAAATCTAGTAGAGGTACAAAGGAAATCCAAAACAGACAATAGGAACATTTATAGAAAAATGGCAGAACCAAGTTGTTACCTATCAATAATAACCTGGAATGTAAATGGCCTAAGTTTTCCAATTAAAAGATGCAGTCCAGCAAAATGGATAAAAAAGGCCTATCTATTTGCTGCCTAGAAGAAATACACAGACTGAAAGTGAAAGGATGAAAAAAGATATTCCATGCTAACAGAAAGCAAAAACAAGCAGGACTAGCCATCCTGTTTTCAGACAAAATAGACTTTAACACAAAAGCTGTTAAAAGATATATATAAAGAACATTATGTAATGATTAAGGGATCAATTCAACAGGAAGATGTGACTATAGTAAATGTATATGCACCCAATACAAGGGTGCCTGGCTATTTAAAACAAATGTTAATGGATCAGAATGGATATATAAGCTCCAATATAATAATAGGGGGACTTTAAGACCCCATTTTCATCAATGGACAGAAAAAAATATCAACAGAGAATAACATGTACGCTATGGAGTACTACTCAGCTGTAAAAAAAATGAAATCCCATCTTTTGCAACAAGATGCTCACAACTGGAAACCATTATACTTAGTGAAATAAACCAATCCTAAAAAGACAGATACATGTTTTTCCTAATCTGATACGACTACTAGACTACCTGAAACATAATGTATTAGAGCAAAACAGACATTCTGAGACTAGATGATTGTTCACAGCCCTTGTCTCTTCCATTGAGGAAGAGTTTTGTTTTGTTTTGTTTTGTTTCTCATCATACTATTTGCTGAACTCCTTTACTTACTGTAGGGTTAACTATATGATCACTAAGTAAACTGATAATAGATCATTGTAAAAATTAAGAATGGGGGATTTGAGGCAAGATGGCGGAATAGGAAGGGAGCACACTGATAGTCCGGGGAGAGACAGTTTAATAACAGTGGAGATACTGCAGGTTCAAGGAAGAGTGGGGGAGGAAACACCAGAAGAAATTTTTCCGGAACCCGTGATTCCCAGGGGCCCTGCGTGGAGAGCGGGGGAGCCCCCATTTCGGGCCCCCACCGGCAGACCCACCCCCCCAGCGCGGGAACCCGAGGTGACCCGACCCTCAATACCCCGAGCCCCCGCCAGCCAAACAGAGGAGCCTAGAGGGACCAACCCCCCGGGGGGGGGGGGGGGAGGAAGTTCACCAGGCTAACTGGAAGAGAGAGAGAGAAAAAAAAGGTGACGGGTTTCTCTCTCTCCGCTCACCTCTCAAGGGCGAGCAAGACAAAGAGCAGGCGCCATCTTGGACATACGTCATAAGCAGAGCGACCTCAGGTCTGCACCGGCCCTGAGCCTAGCAGAAAAACCTGACTCTGGGCGGGGCAAATTAACAGGAGATTAGGACCTAGTAAATTTGTGGTGCTACTGAACTGAGACTGTGAAAAAAGAGACGGTGGGGGAGAGAACTCACAGAATTCATGTGAGTACTCTCCAGAGACGCTACAATTCCGTAACTGGCAACCCAGTG